ATAAACAGTGATGAGACAGTTTCAAATCAAATCGGAAGTACAGTTTCAACAAATAACACACTGCATATATTCTTCTTAGTGGTTAATTGCTGTACCTGGGTTCCTTTTTGGAAAGCTTTCTCTCTGTTTATTATCAATCTTGTACTTTTCTCTTTAACTTAATTATACTTTGGGTTAAGAGAAACCCTATAATATTTAAGCTTGTGTGTCTAATTTATTTCACTAACCTAATGGTCTCAAAGTACATCCATTTTCCTATAAATGACTCATTTATCTTTTATTGTAGAGTAGTACTCCATTGTATATAAATAACACATTTTCTTTATCCATTCATCTGCTGATGGACATATAGCCTGCTTCCAAGATTTACCTGTTATGAATTGTGCTGTAAACATGACTATGCATGCATCATTGTAACATGATGACTTTAACTCTTTTGGAAAGATACCTAGAAGAGGAGTTTCTGGGTCAGATGGGATTTCTATTTTTAATATTTTGAGGAATTTCCATAATGATTGGACTAGCTTACAGTCCCACCAACAATGTAGAAGGTTTTTTTTTCCCCCTCAGCCTTGCTAGCACTTGTTATTATTTGATTTCTTGATAGTGATTCTTTCTGGAGTAAGGTGGAATTTCATTATTGTTGATTTCATATGCATTTTTTCATATGCATTTCTTGAATGGCCAGAGGTGTTAAAACTTTTTTTTTTTTTACCCTCATCTTTATTGGCCACTTGTATTTTCTGAGAAATGTCAATTCATTTTAATTGCACATGTTTGATTGGATCTTTTATTTTCGGGGAGGGTCTAGTTTTTGTCTTTATATTCTAGATCTTAGTCCTTTGTTGGAGGGGGAGCTGGCAACAACCTTTTTCCTATTTTGTAGATTGTCTCTTCACTCTTGGTTATTTCTTTTGTTATGCAGACTCTTTTTAACTTTATATGATCTTATTTGTTGATTGCTGGTACTATTTCTTGTGCCACTGGAGCTCTGTTCAGAAAGTCCTCTTCTGTACCTATGTCTTCCTTCACCTATTAAAGATTTTTGTATTAATGTGCATTAAAATTGGAGGTTGGAAGCCAAAGTTTTCTAGGTCTGTTGTAGCCCAAGTAATACTGTTTACTTTCAGTCTTTGTGTCTGGCCTGACATACTCAGGACTATTAGAAAATACTTTTGGAATAGAGCTGGGTGTAGTTTAGAGGTTTAGTGCTTGCCTGGTATACACAATGGCCTGGGTCCTTAACAAGTACAAAAAAACCAAAATGTAGAGGAAACTAAGCTCAGACCTCCAGCTCCCACCAACCTAAAGTAAGAATGGTATAGCATCTGAGGGCAATCTAGAGACACTTGTCTCAAAAGTAGAAAAAGAAATTTGTCAACATTTTGCTAATGATTTTAGTATCTATTGCTATTTACTACTTCAATCTAATATATCATTAGTTGCTATAAAGATATGCTTTCTCAGTTGTCCTAAAAACCCCCTTTTTTCATCTAGTCCTTCATTACCTATAGAATACATCTACAGAAAAGCTAGAATAAAATGCTTGATGTCTATTTTTTTCTTTTCATGTATGATTTTCCAGAATAAGTCAGTGCCTTAATATCCTCTTCCACATGATTAGTTTTGTTTTTGTTGTTATTTTTATGTGTTATAACTCACAGATTTTTGCCTTCCACTCTTTTTGGATGTTCAAACTGAACTCCTGTGCCCTTTACCCACTTGGAGTAGTCTTTGATAGTCTTCTTATTTACTGGGACAAGATATGTGAAGCTCATCTTATACAGTTCCTTTTCCAGACCTAGAATCTGGCACAGAATATTTTCAGTGGAAAATATATAAAGACCATAATCTTTCTTTTTATTTTTATTTTAGGTAAGGATCTACAGGGTGTTCAGGGTCTCACTACTAGATCAGACTTTTAGTGAACCTCTTGTTTACAGCCTCCCAAGAGCTGGGATTACAGGAGTGCGCCACCATGCTCAGTCTCAATTGCCATCTCAGCGCTGAGCTATTTGGCCGGCCCTTTAGAGACCATAATGTAGATGGTATTTGTCCTTATTCTTACATAGCCCTTTTAATAGACAGAAATAGGAAAATTATTTTTCAATGTATAATTATTTTTATTAAGTAATAATTATATAGAATAGCACTAGATATAGCAGTACAATTACTAACTTACACAATTTTGAGGAGGATCTATTCTGGCACATCGAAAGATTGGAGTTATAAACTTGAGTGCTTAAAAGAGCTGGGCAGCTAACCAGATGCAGACAGTCCCCACTTACCTTGATGTAGGATCATTCCATTTATGATATTTTTGACTTTCTGATGGTGCAGAAGTGATGCACATTCCATGGAAGTTGTTCTTCAGTTCTTTACTTTCCATTTTTACCCCAGGTTGGCAGAGTGTAGCATGATACCTTCTTGTGGTGCCAGGTGGCAGCAGTGAGCCATACCAGACACAGGAGCCTGAGGGATGCAGCTGCCCCTCCTATTCTGTGTTGCTGAGCAGTCAGTACATTTCAAGTATATTTTTAACTTAAGATTGGCTCATCAGGATGTTGTCCTCCATGCTTTACTCTACTTCAGGATCTTTTTTTTTTTTTTTTTAAACAAGGCTTTCAGCTGGTTTTATTTTTTATTTTTATTTTTTTTCAAAATTTTATTGATAAACAGATAGCAATGAAACAGTTTCAAATCAAATCGGAAGTACAGTACTTCAGGATCTTGTAAAGAGTCAGTGAGGCATGGAGAGACAAACTGGAGAGCATGCATCTCATCTACAGGATGTACGTGTGACTTGAGTAGCTGATTTTTCTAAAAGGAATACAAACACCATGTTGCCTGACTTCCATTTTTGACAGGAATATATAAACCCAAGTAATTTTATTTAGCATTTAAAAACTGACAAGTAATTAAAATATTTTTTGTTTTTTGATACCATCTCACTGTGTTATTCAAGTTGGCTTTTGAACTCACTGTATAGACCAGAGTGACCTCAAACTTGTCACAATCCTCCTGCCTCAACTTTCGCTGAGTGCTGGGATTATAGGTATGCACCACTGTATATGGCTACTAATTAAAACTTTATAAGTTTTATTTTGGCCAGATAAATAATTTTTTCCATGGGTTGTTTATGAATTCTTGTGAGGAAGAGCTAAAGATTTGCTCAACCTCAGGTGACCTGAAAATTATACTGGGAAAGAGAATGAAGAAAGGGATTTAATCATGTTGGTTTTACTAATCATGATGCATTTATTTATGTGAGTTCTGTTTGTGAACCTTTAAAATGTTAGAATAATGCTCTTGATCATTAACTTGCTTCTTGTTTCTTTTTGCAAATTCAAATCAGGAACTGACAACCTCTCAGAAAAGTGGTGGGAATGTTCTTCAGATGATGTATGAAAAACCGGAACGATGGTCTTTTACTTTCCAATCATACGCCTGTCTCAGTCGCATACGCGCTCAGCTCGCCTCTGTCAATGGCAAGCTCAAAGATGCAGAGAAACCTGTGTTATTTTTTGAACGATCTGTGTATAGTGACAGGTACATTTTTGCATCTAACTTGTATGAATCTGATTGTATGAATGAGACAGAATGGACAATATATCAAGATTGGCATGACTGGATGAATAACCA